CACTGTTCAGTCATGCACCAATCTTACAATCATTGTTATGCTTGAGCCCATTGCTGCTGCCACTCTGAGAATTTATCTCATTGGGAGGCCCTCCTACTTTTCACTGACACTCCATTTTACCCAGCATGATGTCTTTCTCCAGGAACTGGTCCCTCCTGATAATGTGTGCAAAGTATGTGAGAAGTCTGTCCATCTTAACTTCTATGGAGCGTTCTGGCTGTACTTTTTCCAACACAGATTGGTTTGTTCTTTCTCAGTCCATGGTACTTTTAATATTCTCCTCCAACACACTAACTTAAATGCATCAAATTTTCTAGTCTTCCTTATTCATTGTTAAACATTCACATGCATATAAAACTATTGAAAATACCATGATTTGGGTCAGGTGCATCTAGTCCTCAAACTGACATCTTTGCTCTTGAACACATGAAAGAGGTCTTGTGCAGCAGATTTGCCTAATGCAATATGTCCTTTGGAGTCCTGGCGTGGCACTATGGGGTAATGCGCTAGACTGCACAGTTAGTTTGAACTGCAAGGTTGGTGGTTCAATCTCACCAGTAGCTCCTTGGAAACCCTCAAAAGGGTCACTATGGGTCTGAACTGACTTGACGACACTTAACAATAACAATATGTCCTTTGATTTCTTGATTACTGCTTCCATGAGTGTTGATAGTTAATTCAAGAAAAATGAAGTCTCTGACAGCTTTCATCTTTTCTCCATTTATCATGATATTTTCTATTGGTCCAGTGGTAAGGATTTTTACTTTCTTTACATTGAAGTGCAACCCATTCTGAAGGCTGTGATCTTGGGTTTTCATCTGTAAGTATTTTAAGTCCTCTTCATTTTCAGTAAGCAAGGTTGTGTCATTTGCATACTACAGTTATTAATATGTCTTCCTCCAATCGTTATGCAAAATTCTTCTTCATAAAATCCAGTTTCTCAGATTATTTGCTGAGCATACAGACCAGATAAATATGGTGAAAGACTACAGCCCTGGCGCATACTTTTCCTGATTTTTAAACCATTCAGTGTCCCCACCTTGGTCCATTTGAATGACTGATTCTTGATCTATGTACAGGTTCCTCATGAGCACAATTAAGTGGTGTGGAATACTTATTCTCCACAATGTTGTCCATAGTTTGTCGTGATCCACACAATTGAAAGCCTCTTTGTAGTTTATAAAGCACAAGTAAACATCTTTCTAGTATTCTCTGCTTTCACTCAAGATCTCTCTGATGTTAACAATGATATCCCTTGTTCCATGTCCCTGTCTGAATAATATTAAGTATTTATTTACAAGCATCACTTAAGGATCTTATTATAAATATTTTTAAAACAGTTTGCTTTTTATCTTTAAACTCCTCATCCTACCATAGAATGTGTTGCTCAGATGTGTGAAAATACAAAGGACTTCCAAAGTATTTTTTAAAAAGGATACACAATTTTTCAAACCTCCATGTAGAACTGGATTGTGTGAGCTAGTTCTATTCCTGTGATTAATCTAGTCTGTACACAATGACACCCGGGTGCAGAAACGCCCCTCATTTGGTCACCTAGTAACTTTTCACTGGTCAACAACAAGCTGAATAAACTATTATGTTGCGGGAAAATGCTTGGCTAGCTGACTTGGATCAACTCCTAGATTTTAGGAGGAATAATAAGGAATCTCCAAGTTTGAATTTGCTAAACCTTTAGGCTCTGTTGGCGAGAAAGAAGCATACTAATTTTGAAGCATAAAATGGATACACAAGACATGGGATCAGGTAAACTAGGTCAAATATTGAAGCAGATTTGGAGACAAAACCTGATGCTAAAGCAGGTGGTCCTTAGTGATAACCTTTATGAGGAGACTGGTGGGGCCACTTGGCTAGCCACCATGGTCTTTCTGGGTCAAGAGCTCAGTGGGGCCCTTCATCAGTTGTTGGAGCATACTTCAGGCACCCTGTATTTCATCTGCCAGCAGCTGCAAGTACTGCTTGACAAGGAGAATCAATGCATGTGGAGAAAAGGCAAGTCTTTCTCTTGTTTAATTTTCCCCCTAAGAAATATTGATTGAGTAGTCAGTCTTAGGGATATTTCCAAGCATGAGAATAAGGTTAAGATATAGTCTCTGTCCACAAGTCATAAGGGGAAATGTTGCTGTTGTTAAGTATCATTGAGTTGGTTCTAACCCATAAAGATCTTGCATAGGTTTTCCAAGGAGCCGCTGGTGAGTTTGAACTGCCAACCTTGCATTTTAAATTGATCTTGTGATTGAGTGCTAATCATACAATGCCATACCAGAATTTCAGAAGGGGGAAATAATGTAAGGGACCTTGAGACCACTACCATTCAAAACATGAATGACTTAACTTTAAGATTTCAGAAGCAAAAGGAGATACATAATAATCTCCTATTTGTTCAAAAGTAGACAAAATCCCATTTTAGGGTAGAAAATTGTGCTAGAGCTCATGCATTATTTAAACTAAATCTTAAACAATGAAAGGATTTAAGCATCTAAAAATTGGGAGAGATGAAGAAGCATTCCAGGCAAAGGTATTATTAGCAGAATTCAAGAATTAAAAATAAGTAAGAATAGGTTCAGTTTAGGCAGAGAAAGCAACTATTCTAGACTACAGTAGAATATTATATCTCTAGAGTTATTTGAGTGTGAACCCATTAATTAAAACACATGGGACAATTGGGGTAGTCTGGGACATGGAATTGGACTGCCCCTTACACCACACACAATAAGTTGGGACAAATTCTCTGGAATAGATCCAGATGCTGACAAGTACCCTAAGATAGGAAGAACATGGTATTCAATGAGTATGATGTCAGACAACAAGATCTACTGAGATAAGAAGGCAAGTGACGAAATCTATCTTTAAATAACACAGTGTCAAAAATGGTCGGTAAGTTCCATTAAGAAGATAAGGATAATCAATTCAATCTTGAAAACAGTGTGTAAGCAACAAGGAAATCTGTCCCAAAGTAGTATGACAGAGAGTCCATCAGCTGAAACTTAGAGTAATGGATCCACTCTGGAGAGAATTAAAAGAGGTCCCAGAAGAATGGAGCCACCTGAACAGGAGTTCAAAATAACGATGGGGTTCTGGTATAGGACTAAACAAAAATAAGTATAAGAATGAATGTCCAAACAAGCCCATACTAGTGAAAAGATGATTTGATGATGAGTCTAAAAACTAAGCTATAGAACCTTAGGTCACATATTCCTTAGTTGAGATTGAATTTTAAAGATTGGATAAGTGCTCAGTCACCAAGTGATCATGAGGTGACCTCAGCTATGTGGAAGCATGAACAAATAAAAGAAAGAAACTGGAAGTGAGAGATTATAGTGATTTGCAGTGTGAATTTACAACAAAGTGAAGAGGCTTGATTTGGTTTAGGAGTCTTTGAGTAGCCACTGTACGTTCTGATCAGAGAATTGACATGATTAGAGTTGTTCCTTGGAAGACTAATTAAAAAAATGGTCAACAATGACAAATTCAGCAGGAGCCATAGTAAAAGTTGAAATACAAATTTCAAAGCAATTAAGAAAGCACTCAATAAAATACAGCATTTAGGCGAGCAGAAATAATGTAACTGGTATTCCTGCTAGTCAAATTTTATCTGGAGTGTTCAACTAAGTTTTAGACCCAACATTTTAAGTAGATTATTTATAAAATATAGTACAGCTAGGGGAAAAGAAACAATTAGAAACATTACACCAAATAAGGGATGATTGAGGAAGATGTTGACTTCAGTTGAAAAGAGTCTTATGCGGAATCATATCTATTGCCACTGTATATATTTTGACTCAATGAGATCCTATAGGACAGAGTAGAACTACCCCATAGAGTTTCCAAGGCTGTAAATCTTTTATGGAAACTCTGCCATAGCTTCTTCAGTAGAGTGGCTGGTGAGTTGTAACTATTAGTCTTTTGTTTAGCAGCCAAACAGTAAACCATCACACCACCAGAGTTCCTGGGAGTCATGATACTTGTCTTCAAATATTCAACTTCATGACAAGAGGAATTAAGTTAATTCTTTGCTTCTGTCCTGGTGAAGTGTTGTAGGATAAGCACTGGATTACAAGGTTGGTTTGAACTGCAGGGTCCGTGGGTTGAACCAACCAGTTACTCCTCGGAAACCTGCAGGGTCACTTTGAGTTGGAACCCACTCAACAACATTTAACAATAATAATCACAAGGTTGGCAGTTCAAACCTACCAGCCACTCCTTGGAAATCCTACACAGGGTCGCTATGAGTCTGAAGCAACTCTATGGCATTTAAAAACTGTCTTAAAGAGAGTCCTTTGTTATTGTTGTTGTTAAGGGCTGTCAAGTCGGTTCTGACTCATAGCGACCCTGTATAGGATTTCCAAGGAGCAGATGGTGGGTTTGAACCATCAATTTTGTGGTTTGCAATTCAGTGCTTATGCTACATTGTTACACCAAAAGGAATTCCTGGGTTGCACAAATGATAGTGTATTTGACTACTAGCCAAACTATTCATGGTTTAAATCCACCCGGAAGTGCATTGGAAGATAGGTCTTGCTTTGGAAAGGTCACAGACTTGAAAATCCCATGCGGCAGTTCTGTTCTGCTCTCAGGGGGTTACCAAGATTAGAATAGATTTCACAGCAACTAACAATAACTGTCTTCAATTGTAGTTTTCAGATAGTATTTAAGATAGAAGTATCAATTCTTAGACCTATTATTAACAAGTGCCAGTGGCAGTAGTACATATGACTTATCCTTCAAGAAGGAGGTTGTCTTAAATGCCTGATAAAGATCTTTTTTTTTTTTTATTTCTAAAGTTATCATTCCATATCTCATTATGTGTAAATACAAAAATATAATTGCCTTTAGTTTTATATTAATTATTTTTTATGTGTGTGTATATGTGCATAGAAATGATTACTTTTATAGACTGCCTCATGAAAATAAATGAATACCTGGAGAGTACTGCTACACTTTTAAAGAAAGAAGAAAAGGAGATGTGTAATTTATGCAGCATGCACGATGAATGCACTCCACTACAAACAATGTCGGTCATTCAAGATATCAACACAACAGACATTGCTGTACAAGGGGAGTTAAATGCCATGGAAGCAACAACTGTTTGCCCCACACATGGGGAGGAAAGTCATTACATGAACCAAGGCCAGCTAAAAAAAAGTAACACTCATCTGAGTTCAGCATTCATGGAAAAAGAAAATAACACGTCATTGAACGGAAATGTAACAGGACAAGAAGAGTTACAGAACAAAATGTGCCCAGACAAAGCAGAAAGTGAAGATGATAAACAAATATATCCCATGACTGCTGAGAACATAAATGGTAACAGAGCAGAGATTTATGACATAACCCAAGCAACAGAAAGAGAAATTCAAGAGATCTCAGAAAACCAAAGAAATGAGATTAACACATCCTCAATAATACATGATAGCATCAATAAATATGTGGATAGCCTTCTTCCCAATGATTCACAGTGTGTAAATGAAAAGAAAAACATTATGGAAAAGGAGTAAGTAAATGCAATGGGAGAGGGGATTATGCATGCCTATTAATGTGTGTGTTTTATAGTTAAAATACATAGTATTTATACATGGATAAAATTTTATATTTCCTTACCATTTCTCCAAAAGTTGCTATAAAACAATAATTCAGCTTAAACTGCCCCATAAAAATATATGTGGATACTATTGCTAGCATTGCTTATCTTATAGCTTTACGAAGCAAATACATGTTTCCTTAAAGGTAAAAAAGAATTAACTAGATAAGAAAGTGGTTAAAATATACAATTATCCTGAACATGGTTAGTTTCCTGAATCACAACTTTATACATTATTATTAAATATAAGGAGAAGGCTGCAGGGTGTTCAGAAATTGGGAGAGAATTTTCTATCTTCAAATTTATTTTACTTATATTCTCAAGAAAATTGTCATAAATGGTTAACTTATGCATGTAGAAATCTAGGGCCTCATGAATAAGCTTGAAAGGTTCTTAAAGTTGAATGTAAATGCTCATACCTATTTTATCTCCTTGGAGATGACCCAGAGTTTTCATCAATTCTCAAAGAACCCATGTCTTCAAAAAGGTGAGAATGACCCATTTTTTGACAGCTTCAATCTTCTCTCTATTTATTATGATGTTACTTGTGGGTCCAGCTGTGAGGATTTTCTCAATCCATTCAGAAGACTGTGGTCTTTGATTTTCATTATTAAGTCCTTTTTGCTTTCAGCAAGCAAGATTGCATCATCTACATATTGCAGATTGTTAAAGAGTCTTCCTCAAATTCTGATGCCAGGTTCTTCTTCATATAATCCAGCTTCTTGAATTATTTGCTTAGCATAGAGCTGTAAAAAGTATGGTGAAAACAATGTGACCTTGGAACACACCTTTCCTGATTTTAAACCATTCACTGTCCCCTTTTTCTGTTCGAACAACTGCCTCGTGGTCTGTGTACAAATTCCTGTTGAACACAATCAAGTATTCTGGAATTCTTCTTTTTCACAATGTTATCTTATAGCTAGTCATGAGGGACACACTTAAAAGCCTTTGCATTGTCAAGAAAGCCCAAGTAAACATCTTTCTGGTGTTTCTTGTTTTCAGCCAAGATTCATAATACGTCACCAGTGATATCCCTAGTTCCATATCCTTGTCTGAATATGCCTTGAATTTCTGGCAGTTTCCTGTTGATGTACTATTGCATCCGTTTTTGAATTGTCTTCAACAAAATTTACTTGCAGGTAATATTAATGATATTGCTAGATGATTTCCATATTCTATTGTGTCACTTCTCCTTGGAATATGCACAGATACATGGATTTCTACAAATCGGTTTGCCAGGTAGCTATCTTCCATTCTTGGCAAAGATGAGTGAGCATCTCCTGTGTTGCATTAGTTTGTTGAAATATTTCAGTTTGTATTCTGTCAATTCCTGGAGTCTTTTTTTCTGCCATTACATTCAGTGCACCTTGGACTTCTTCCTTCAGTACCATCGGTTCTTGATCACATACTGCCTCTTGAAATGGTTGAATATTGATCATTTCTTTTTGGTACAGTGACTCTATGTGATTCATTCCATCTTCTTTTGATGATTTCTGCATCATTCAATATTTTGCCCATAGAATTCATCAATATTTCATGTTGAAGCTTGAATTTTTCTATCAGTTCTTTCAGCTTGAGAAATGATGAGAGTATTCTTTCCTTTGGGTTTTCTAATTCCAGGCCTTTGCACATTTCATTATAATACTTGACTTTGTCTTTGTGTGCTGACCTTTGACTTTTTGATTCAGTTCTTTTACCTCCTCATTTTTTTCTATGCACTTTAGCATTTCTATTCTGGAGTGCAAATTTTAGAGCCTTTTCTGACATCCATTTTGGTCTTTTTGTCTTCTTTCCTGTCTTTTTAATGACATTTTACTTTCTACTTTTATGTTCTTGATGTTATCCCACAATTCTTCTGATCTTTTGCCTTTAGTGCCTAATGCATCAAATCTGTTCTTCAGTTGATTGCTAAATTCAGGTGAGATATGTTCAAGGTCATATTTTGGCTCTCGTTGGACTCATTTTAATTTTCTTCAGCTTCAGCCTGAACTGGCCTATGAGCAACTGATGGTCGGCTCCACAGTCTGTCCCTGGCCTTGTTTTGGCTGATGATATGGAGCTTTTCCACCACCTATTTTGACAGATGTAGCAAATTTGATTTCTGTTAATCCATCTGGCGAGGTCCATGTGTACAGTTGTCTCTTACATTGTTTAAAAAAGATATTTGCAATGAATAAATCATTTGTCTTGCAAAATTCTATCATGCAATCTCCAATATAATTTTTATCACAAAGACTGTATTTTCCAACTACTGATCCTTTTCTTTGATTCCAGCCTTTGCATTCCAATCGCTAGTAATTATCAGCACGTATT